TTTGTCTTCCTTGCACGAATTCTCCTTGGGCTTGACTGATGATGGAGGGTAGCACTACTTTAATCCTCAAAGATAACACTTTAGCTAGGATTTTGTAAATGCTAGTCCACAAGCTGATCAGCCTAAAATCTTTATGATTTTTTGCTTCTTTCTTCTTAGGGATTAGAGATATGAAAGTAGCATTGACTCCCGGTCTTACTTTGTTGTTGTCCTCAAATTCCTTAAACACAGCACAAAGATCTTCTCTTAGCACATTCCAACAGTCTTGATAAAAAGCCATGGTGAATCCATCTGGCCCAGGAGCTTTGGATCTGTCCATAGAAAAAATTGCTTGCCTAATTTCCTCTTCTTCAAAGCTCCTCTCCAACCAGATTGCTTGCTCTTCAGACAATCTAGGCCAATCTAGTCCTTTCAGCCTAGGTCTATTATTCAATGGCTTCCCTACAATTGATTTAAAGTGATCCACCAACACTTTGGCTATCTCATCTTGGTTTGTTACTTCCTCTCCATCCACTTCTAATTTGGTCACACAGTTTTTTCTTCTCCTCCCATTAGCCAATGCATGGAAAAATTTTGTATTGCCATCCCCTTCTTTGATCCATTTACGCCTTGACTTTTGCCTCCAGGAAATCTCCTCCCTAAGAAGAACTTCTTCCAATTCCTTTTTTAAGCTTCTTCTCAAATTCCTTTCTTGCTCATTCATGATTCGTTGAGATTCTTTGGAGTCTAGATCCTCAATCCTGGACAACAGATTATTCTTTTGATCCTCTATCCTTCCAAACTGCTCCCGATTCCACTCTTTAATCATGGCTCTCAATCTCTTCAACTTTTTGTGGAACCTTACACCTTTCACTTTACCCCTCCCAACTCTTCATTCCACCATTCATCCACCAGCAGTACAAAATCTGGATGAGTCAGCCACATATTCTCGAATCTAAAGGAAGAGATCTAGCCACCAAATTCCCCCAATGAACCTCCCACTCTACATTAAAAAGGAACCTATCAAGTTTGAAGCACAAGAGGTTTTCTTGGAAATTAGACCATGTAAAATTAGCTTGTAGGAGGGGTAATACCTTTAAACCACGTGTTAATTAACTCATTAAAATTTCTCATGCTTGTAGTAATCGTTCTTTGGGGATTATTTGATTCATTACAAAACATGATTACATTGAAATCCCCCCCCCCAGGCACCACGGACTGTCCCACAAGCCTTGTATTCCATACAACTCCACCCACATTTCTTTCCTTTCTCTATAACTATTTGGCCCATAAACATTAGTTAACACCCAAGTGAATCCATCTTCCACATTTTTTAATTTTAAAGACATGGAGAATCTACCTATAAGTTCTTCCACTGATTCTACAACATCCTCCCTCCACAATGTAGCTATCCCTCCCGAGGCTCCCCAAGAAGGAGCTAAAGTCCAGCAGACTCCTCTTGATTTCCACACACTTCTGACCCATCTTCTATCCAAATCTGCCAACTTGGTTTCTTATAACATGACAATGTCAGGTTTCTCTCTACTAAGCAGGCCTTTAATTGCCCTTCTTTTTCTTGCACTCCCCAACCCTCTCATATTCCAACTAAAGATTTTCATTATAAAACTCCTTTCTGACACCCCTATCTAAGCTGGTTCTGTCTCACACAGAGCCCTTCCTTCTCTCTCCCCTTCCACTAAACTCGATATCACCCTCAATATCCGAGATTAATCTCCCCACTTCTGATCTCTTTTTCTTTTTCCTTTGGACAATCCCTTCTATCTTTTTAGCCGGCCCACTAATTCCATCCACTTGGGCCACCTCCCCCCCAACCTAGGGCTTCTGTAGCACTCCATAATCTGAGGGTTTGCTTCATGTTCCCCACCTTCTAACCCCTCCTCCTTTGCTTTATAATCCTCCAATAATGCACAGATCTGCTCCCATATTCTTTCTAACTCTTCCTCCCGCTTTCTCTTAACCTCCAACACTCCCTCACTCCTCTCACCTTCACCCATAATCATCTCTCTGCTTTTCTTTCTGCCTAATAAATCCTCTCGGGATGCTGGAGTATCTGTTTCAATAACTAAATCTGAAAGAACAAAAATACCTGCATTGTTAGGGACCAGATGAGCTTCTTCCAAGAGAGTGAGACTGGCATAGGAAAGCAAGTGCAACCCTGTTTCCTATGGTCTGAACTGCATAGGAGAATTTTCATAGGAAATCAGCACCTTGCCACCTTCCGCAATTGAGTTGGGCTTCCACTGCTGTCTGGCTTCAGGCGATACATTACAGGCTATTTCGGTAGAGTCTTTCCCTTCCAAACCAAAAACCTGTACGTCCTGGGCTAGCAGGCTGGCCTCCCTTGCGGGTAAAGACAGAACCTGGGACCCATCCTTAGTAGCCTTCTGCCGATCCTTCAGAAACTTCGGTTCTCCGTCAAAGCATTGAGAACCATCTCCCTCTTCCTCCAAAAATAAGACTTCCGTTCCGAAGCTATCTTCCTCAGAGATGTCCTTCGATCTGCTTAGGTCGATGCTACCCAGACTCTCTGAATCGTCCGAATCTGAATCACTAGGATCTTCAAACTAAGGGAAGTCCTTCCTTCTCACCTCTGGATCACTTCGTCTCACACACCTTGGGTTGCGCTTTTCGGGCGACGATTTCCTTAACCTTGTCGTCGCAGTCTACTGCTTCGAACCTCCAGCATGCGCAGAAGTCGCAATCCCTGCTAATCAGTCTGCTGAGCTCGAAGAGGAAGAAAATAGATGGTTATTACCATCTATTAGAGGCGCACCCTTAGTCACGTGCCGCTTTAAGTTGGGCCCCTGAAGTGGGCTCCTTATATCCGCCTGAACCACCTTATATGGGCTTGAAGTTTGCAGCCCATTGAAAACTTCCGCCCATAACTCCCCACTCCCAACTTAGACGGCCCAGATTTTTTAGTTCTGGGCCCCCCAACTCCGGATTTGAATTTTATCCCGACCCACATGTTTAGCCTTTCCAACTTCAGCATGTTTTACTAACCCTTTCTGGTCTTCTCGCAGAATAGCAGGGGTGATTGAAGATTTGAAGGTTTAGGACTGACGCCTCTTGTAACTGCATGGGCATAAGATTTGTCAGAGGCCCAGCAGCTACCTTGTAGAGCACGTTTCAAACCTTCCTCCTGCAAATCTTTTGAACTTCTCACATAATGTTTGCCCTTTTTTGTGTAACTTTCATTTCCTTGCAGATACCCCAGTCCATTGCTGCCACCAACCAATCCTTTATTGCCACAACTCTTCTTCTTCAACCTTCTCGTTTTCCTCCCTACGAGCCTCTTTCCAGAGCCCAGCTTCAATGGATGAAGCCAGCCAAACTGAAAAAAACTGTTCTTCAACTCGCACCTCTACCTTTCGAGGTATCTCCTCAGGCTTTACTCCATTTATTAAGATGGAAGCTGAGTAGAGGTCTCCCCAAAAAGCACCTCTTAGTGATCCTCCACACATCAAAGCAATGGCTTCAGCAGTTTCTTGCTTCCACAAGTGAAAAGGTAGACCTAAAAGTCGCACCAGCACCCCATCTTCAACAGAAACGTCTTCGAAGTTTGACAATGGACACCACCTTGATATTATGAAATTTCCAAAATCATTTTGGAGATTTAAGGCCTCAATTTCTACAATATTCTCAATAAAGTCCAGCAGAGCCTCATCTTTCTCAAAGGGGGTTAAGATAAACGTACTCTTCAACTTCGCTTGCTGTTAACACATCTGCAACTTTCCTCCAATCTACAATCCAAGTAGATGCTTTAACTACCAGTTTACTTTCCCAGTCTTGTCTCTCTAGATTTGTTCCCATTCTGTGTTTACCTGCTCCAGCTGTCACTAAAAGAGGCTCTAGCTTATTCTTGCTCTCCTGGCTAGTAGAGCTATTTAACTTCCTTTTCTCTGTTAAGTCTCCTTCTCTTTTAGCACTCCACCATTGCAGCAGTTCACATAATGCCCCATAAACTTCCTTCCAGCCCTGACTTTTCCTTCCCTCTGGGAAACATACCATCTGCTTCCTACCCCTGCCAAAAAATTCTGTCAAGGATATGAAAGAACCTTTATAATTTCTCTTACATTCTACTACAAATCTTCTTCCAGTTTCAGAGAGAAACTTTTTCCAGCCATTTTGTTTACCCTTTTTACTTGCACCTCCCACAAACTCCTTGAACCCTTCAATCACCCCCAATCCTTCTAGTAGCACCATCCCTTTCTTTGCTTCCCTGATTTTCAATCTCAGCTGACCTTTTAATTTTTGTTCCTCGAATAGAAGCTCCTTGGCTTCAATCTTCAGAGTTTTCCTCCAGCGACCTATCTCCACGAACTCTCCCATTGGAACTCTTCACAATTATTGATAAGAAATGTGATACCAGATCAGCAAACCTTTCTAGAGCAATGGCAGAACAGGATCCATGTGTAGATGACCCCAAATAGTTGAGACAAGACTTGATGGTGATATTTTTTATCAAAAACTGTAAATTGTACTTAATGATTGAAAAGAGTGATGACAATTGACAATACTATTATGTTCACAATTATTGATAAGAAATGTGATACCAGATCAGCGAACCTTTCTAGAGCAAATAAAAAACAACAATAATAGTTGGTGATAAAAAATGGATGGCATTATATAAAATATATTTGAATATTTGATGTGACATTTAGCTCATCAAGAAATGTAAACATCAACTTACCCAGTAATCAAGCCTAATAATGTAGTTGAACTTATATAAATGTACTTCTTGTCTATGTCATTATAAGTTTAATAAAATAACCTTATGCATTGCTATTTTCTAATCAGGGGCCATTGGTTGGTTTAACAGTAAAATAAAATCTTGGTTTTCTAATATAATTTTTTAGTCACATATGCTCAGATTTCCCTATGATTTATCGAAATGTCATGCTACTCTTAAACAGTACATTGAACTTAAATTGCAGACTTGGTGCAAGTATACTTACCAGCCAATAACACTAATAAAGAGAATGATATACTAATCATACCTCCCCACTTGTCAGAGTTGAGAATCCAAGCACAGTACTCTTCATTTGGTTTTCCAAGAAAGGCCTCAGAGTATTTTGTAGGATCACTTGCCACCGTTGCGGCAATAACCTTCAAAAGAAACATGAAATAATAAAAGTTGGTGTTTTCCAATTAAATGCATACTCCCCTCAACAAAACTTAGAGATGAAAAAGCATACACTGATTTGGCAGTTGATCTTTTGAAAACACACTCCCATACTCCCATACCCACTCCCGTGTTAACCACTAAGGATGGAGATGGAGAAAGGAGCACGAAAGAATAACGGTACTGATTATAAATGACAGTTGATCTTTTGAAAACACAAAAGAATTGGATTCTGTGCCAGATTGGCATGACAACATACATAATTCACAGCAAGGAAATGCCTTGTAAGTTTAGAAAATACTTCGAACAGATAAAATTAAAGAGAAAACTGAAAGTATTAAACACCAATAAGACATAGCTAGGTTCCACCACTTGATTGTCTAGGAACCAAGTAATCACAATGTGAGGATTCACCTGCTTTACAAACACACCTGCACTTGCCAGCAAATACACCTACCTTACAAGGACTAACCACACCCAAACAAAAAATAAAATATCCTAGATGTGATTTGGCCTTTCCAGTCAAAGTACCCTATCTCTTTCAGTCTCCAACTAATTAATCTAAGAACCAACAATTATTTCAGAACAAATTCCTAAAGTGGCAATAATTGCTCAAATCAGTGAATCACTAATGATACAAGATCCAGTCTTCATCTGCCTCTTTCCCCATCTCCTTAAACATTCTAAAATCCACATCTTCTACGATTACTTTGATCTAATTGTTAGTGATATCAAAAACAGGCCTAGTTCTATATTTCAATTTTTGAAGATTGCCAATTTGCGACCTACCATCAAACCTTTATAATTACCTTCAAGATTTTTTGCCATGATAGACAATGCTTGTAGAGCTTTATTTTGTTCATTTCCACAAGCATTCCCACCTTTTTTGAGATTCCAAACCCCATATGTTTCCCCCTCTATACTCTCTGAAACTTCCCAACACCTAGATGTTGTCCTTCCCAAAAGAACCATCAAGAGCAGAACTATGAGGCCCTAGAATTGCAATCTCTGAGGTATCATTTTGAATAAAGCTTCTCTTGCAACTTAAGTAACATAGGGACTGATAGATAGAAGGCATGGTCGAGGGGTAGCCTTGCTTCAAAATCCGACAAAGTATACTCTGAATCTAGGAGAAAATCCAGAGAATAGTTGCTGGTTTCCTTCTAGTAGCAGAGAACCACTAAAAAAATAAGAAAAGAGAAAGGAAGAAATAGCATGTTTCTCCAACACCTATTTCAAGGACAATTTTAGAGAAAAACAAAAACTAACTGTTAAGGAACCAAACGGGCAGAAGCTGCAGGTGCCACATCAGCCTAGTGAGTCAGTTCCAAAGACAGTTGGGGTTAACTGAACAAGCTGCCAAGTTGTTATAATATGGTTGTAAGTCAGTTATGATGGTAGCTGAACCAATATATAAATGACATTGTATCTACATAAAGGAACTCTGAAAAAAAAAGTCTTACATTCATTCTTCCCTCTTTTCTTCTTCTAATTCTAACTCGGGAGGTCATCCTCCCTCGAAGAGGATCTATGTTGTGCAGCTACCCAACATCTTGGTATCAAAGCCTGCAATTGAATCCAAATGCCAAGTACACGACTGGAAACCATGGAGGAGTGAGTGGATTGAAAGGAGATTCACCTTCACAAAGCAACCAGTGATCTGCAAGAAATCAAACACACTCTGGCAACCGTGGTAACCCAGTTGGAGAGAAACTCTGCTGGCAGAAGCCATGACAACAATCAAGAAGGGAACAGTTGCGATCAAGGAGGAAAGCACAGCTAGGCAGCGAAAATATCAGCTAAGTTGGGCTTTCCAAAGTATTTAGGTGAGGACCCCATACCTTGGACATTTAGGGCAGAAAGATACTTTGAATACCATGATACGCCTAACCACTAGAGGGCTCCCATCACTTCATTCCATCTGGAAGAAGAAGCAATTTTGTGGTTCCAATGGTTCCACCACACCCATCCCCATGTTTCTTGGGCGGATTTCACAGAAGCTCTATGTATCCAATTCAAACAAACAAGGTTCGACGATTATGATGAAGCCTTGTGTAAACTTAAACAAACAGGGTCAATAAGGGATTATCAGTCTGAATTTGAAAGGTTGTTGATGGTGCGAGATCTGGTCACTCCTAGCTGGAAGTGGCTGCGCTCCTAGTTGGCGACAGACGAGAGATACCTGTGAGGAAGAAGATGAAGGAACCCAGGGGGCTCACCCGGCGGGAACACTCGATGGTTAAGTTAGTAACCGGATTGAAAGCTGGGAGAGAGAGAGAGAGAGAGAGAGAGAGAGTTGTAGAAAAATTAAAGAGCTAGAGTGATGATCACGCAATACCTTCGCCCCTGGGGGTCGGGGTCCTTATATACTAGTATCCTAACATGGCAGGTGCAACCACCTCCGAATCTCTGTTGCGGCGATCTGCTGTCAAATAGCGGCTTGGAGTGGTTGGCCGTTATTTGCCAAAGCTGAGCTGGCGGGCAAAGGTGATCACTGCAGAGTACGATCCTGCCAGACAAGAAACAACCTCTAGGGTTGGCAGGCACAGCGCTGCCAGGCGAGAGACGTGGGCGCAGCCCCCAGGTTTGGTAGGTACGGTTGTCAGGCAGAAAACCCCCTGCGATACGCCGAGCTGCTCTGCAGCGAGCTACCTTACACCGAGCTGTTGGTGATGCGCCGAGGTGCTTCTACCCGAGGCAGGTCTCCGAGGTAGCCTACTTAGGTTTGGACAGGAGCGAGCTTATTCTAGTTAGGGAGCTGACGAGCTTAATCCGAAGTGTCTTCAGTTCGGGATGCTCCCTACTTGGAAGGGTCTTAGCTCGGGGTGCTCCCTATTTAGGAGAGTCTTAGCACGGGGTAACGGAGTATATCTTGTAGCGAGCTGCCATTTGCGGCGAGCTGTCAGGCTGGGTTATAGCGAGCTCGTTACGTTGAGTTGTAGCGAGCTCGTTATGCTGAGTTGTCACTTATGTCGAGTCACGTCCACATGTCCCCTTATTATGAGGTCGGGCCAAATCACCCTCCATCAATTGCCCCCCACTCCCCGGGCCAGGAGTCTTGACCTGGTGCGGGGAGTTCACGGCGTGACGGGTGGATTTGGCTCGAGGTTCAGGCTGTCCAGTCAGACAGTTCGTCGATCGGACCAGTTCAGCTGCTCGGCTCAACCAAGTATAACCCAAGTCGCGTGCGGTTTACGCGCGGACGTCACGCGATCTATAGACTCCGCGGACGCCAAAAAACGCGCTAAACTGATTTCGACCTCGAGGGTTGTGCAACCGGTTTTCTCAGGAACCGTCAGATCTCCTTGATCTCGACCGTTGATCCCCTGACCTTGCGGCTATAAATAGAGGGGGACCCGAGTCATTTTCTCCGCCATAAGTTCACTAGCATTCGCCTTGAAGTCGCGGTTGAAGTCCTCAGCTCGGGTTTTCTAGTTCGTCAGTCTTTCAGTTTGGTCTCTTGGTGAGTCTCCCTAGCTTCTCTTTTCAGTTCGCTTCAGTTCAATAGCCATGTCAAACCGTAGTTTCGATAGCCTTCTAGATGAGCCCGAGTTGGGTACCTCGGCTCAAGTGGGCCTTTCCGAGGTGCAATCCTCTTATGAGGCGCGAGAGGCCTCAGATAACCCAGCATCCACCTCTTCTCAAGGTCGGGTGCTGGACAAGTTCAGCCCCTCAACCATGACCGTAGATAGACTTAGGGCCCTGATACATAAGTACAACCTCCCGAGGGAGTATACCTATAACCTTCCCGCGGGCAACTTCCCTTGGGAACACAATCATGATGAGATCGTGATCTTCGAAGAACAGCTCGCGGCTGGACTCCGTCTTCCTCTACACCCCCTAATCATAGAAGTCTTGGAGCACTTTGATGTCACCATAGACCAACTTCACCCGAACTCCATCCGGAATGTGGTCGGGACAATTTCCCTTTGCTTTGACTACGCCCTGCCCCTCGACCTCGACATTTTCTCATCTATTTTGTCAATAAAGAAGAATGCTTCTTGTGTCCTTCCCGAGTATAGGCGGACCTATTACTTGTCCCCTCGCCCGGGCTACAAACTGTTACACGGCCTCCCTAGTAAAATCCCGGCCTGGAAGCGGGATTATTTTGTAGTCCGCAATCCCGCAGGGTGGCCCTTCCCAACTCATTGGAGGGCGGCCATTCAGGACTCCGACATTAGGTTGGACTTGAAAACAAGGGAGATGCTCCAATCTTGGGCGGAGATCGGCCTCAACTACAAGGATTACATCGCTGAGGACAAGCTCGTACAGGTCGGCCTAAGTCTTGGTAGGTCACCTTGGTTTAGAGTTAGTATTTTACCTCAGTAGCTGGTATTTCTTCTTGGTAGTATCGCTAATGTCGAGCTTTATTGCAGGCCCCATGCAGCAGCTCAGCGCGGACAGGTTCTTCGGAAAGATGAAGGGAAGGAAGAAGCAGGCTGCTAAAAGAGCTCGCGTCGAATCTCCGCGGCCCCCTACTCCCGAACCCAAACAACCTCCAAGCGCTCCTCAAGTGATAGACCTGGTCGAGGAGCTGGAGAGGAGCCCTCATGCACCCGAGGTGCCCTCGAAGCCCGCTCCTTCTACAACTGCAGTTTCTTCGGGCAGCGAAGGGGCAATTCGAAGTATTTTGACTCCAGAATACAGCCTCCACAAAAGCAAGGGGGCAGTATATGCTGATGAAGTCACGAGCTGGTCTGAGCTATCGACCGCCCAGCTCGGAGCTCGAGCCACTACTCATTGCATGGTGGTAAGTCTTGTTCTGCCTTGATTTTTGGTTTTGTAGCCTTGCCGGTACTAACTAGTATTCTCTTGGCAGGTGAACTCCGTCGTGCATGCCTTGACTCTCCAGTCCGAGATGCGCCTGAAGCAAGCCCTAGCTGCCGAGAGCTCGTTCCGCAAGGCTCACACCGAACTGAAGTTAGCTTGCGGTCAGATCCACCGGCTAGAGAACGACGCGATAGCTCAGAAAGAGTATATCAAG